AAGATGTGTTAGCTCTCAGTGAACAGCAAGATTAGCAAAGAGTCTTTATTATGTGGATCGATCGTCGGAGTCACAAAACTTAATGAGATTCTGCATTTAATATCACTAATCTCTTTTAGATGTTTTTAAAAGGTGTGTTTATGAGATAAGAGAAAAACCTTGACCGTGAAAAACCTGACTATTGACTAGTTGACATCAAATGTATTTGCCCTCTTCGCTACACTCACTTATATTATTTAGAGCAGCCGCATGATTTAGATACTTTTTAACTCCTGAACTCTAGCCTTGGACTTCGGTGAAGGACTTATTTCTAAAAAGTAGCCTTACTTCACTTGCACCAGAGTGGTCTTCACCCTACTCTCATTAGATCAAACAACTTCTATTTATAGATTGCCAATGGCGATATGAAAATCGATTCTCTTGAAAGTTCTAGCAACTTACAAGATTAAGTACAATTGCCATTTTTCTTGGGACCAAGTCAACTTGGAAATTAAACAAATGAAAAGTTTCTAGATATATTTCATGAAAAGTGAGAGGTGGTGTTATTAATTCAACAATGCTTACTTTTATTACACTCGGTTTGAGGTACTTGAAGGATTAAAATCTGAAGTTTTACTATATACGAAATGTAATGGTTACTCTTATTACACTCTGAGTAAGGTAGGCGTCGACATATGATTTAAATATTAACCATAGTTCTTATTGTCGGTGCAGGCAAAGTTTTTAGTAGTGCGTGTAGGTCTTACTTCACCCGTCTATATACGGGAGAAAGATACTTTCCCACTCGTTCAAAATGACATTTTCCCACATTTGATTAGGTTTGTTAGTGTTTTTTTTTTAATATTTGATTGAAATGATGAAAATGTACTTAAATGATTTACTATAAATTAAAATTTAGTTTTCAGTCTTTATTTGATTATTTATTAGCTCAAATGTAAATATACATTTTTCTTCTTTGTTTATTTAATTAGTTAGGAATATTGATTTTCTATGTTAATTAATAAAAATTAAAAACATTATAAATTTAGTAGATTATTAAATAATAGTGATGAGATATTGATGACATTATAAATTAATTAATAAATAAATAAATAAATATTAAGGTTATTTAATTTTAAACATTTCCATAGTATTACTCCTAACTTTTTAGGTGAGGTTGACTATTTTTTCTTTTTTGATTTTTTAATATTTGACTTTTTGGCTAATTAAAAAACAATAAAAAATTTATAAAGTAAAAAAATTAAGGGTATTTTTTTTTTCTTTAAAATATTAATGGAAAACATAACAGAACCCAACGAAGGGTGAAAGAGTGTCATTTTGAAACTTGATGGGTGGTAAAGTGTCATTTAGTGTATATATATATAGGCCGAACGACTTATGCATACCCAAGGTTTGTCGAAACGACAAGTTGGTACCTAAAAGGTTTTGAAACGACAAATAGGTACCTTCCGTCATGTTCTGTTAGTGATTTTCATTTGATAATAGTGAAAAGACTAAAATGCCCTTAAAAGTTTAATATTTTAGATTTTTATAAAATTAAAAATTTCTAAAAAACCCCCTAGGTTTTCTAATTTGACTAAATACCCCAATATATAAAAAATTTATAAAATAACAAGAACACCCCCGCCATCCACAGTGCCAGATTCCGGCCACCACCGCCGGAATCTGGCCAGAAAATTGCGTTACGACACAGACCCATGGGATCCGTGTCGTAACGCGTAGATCTTTCATTTTTCGACAAGATCCGTGGCTGATCTGGCCGGAAAAGGCCAGATCTACGGCCATATCTGGCCGTCGAGACCGAAAACTTGCTGAAAAATTGTGTTACGACACAGACCCATCGGATCTGTGTCGTAACACGTCGATCTGGCATTTTCCGGCCAGATCCGTGGAGGATCTGGCCGGAAAAGGCCAGATCTGGCCGTCGAGACCGAAAAAGGCCAGACGTAGATCTGGCCTTTTCCGGCCAGATTCGTGGCGGATCTGGCTGGAAAAGGCCAGATCGGTGTGTTACGACACAGATCCGACGGGTCTGTGTCGTAACACAATTTTTCGGCCAGATTCCGGCGGTGGTGGCTGGAATCTGGCATTGTGGGTGGCGGGGGTGTATTTGTTATTTTATAAAATTTTTATATATTGGGGTATTTAGTCAAATTAGCAAACCTAGGGGGTTTTTTAGAAAATTTTAAATTTATAAAAAACTAAAAATTAAACTTTCAAGGGTATTTGAGTCTTTTCACTATTATCTAACGAAAATCATTAATAGAATATGACGGAAGGTACCCATTTGTCGTTTCAAAATCTTTTGGGTACCAACTTGTCGTTTCCACAAACATTGGGTATGTATAAGTCGTTATCCCATATATATATAGTAAAACCTCTCTATAGTCATAATGGTGGGACTAACTAATTTTATTATTATTAAGAGGTTATAACTTAATAGAGGTGTAGTTATAAAAATTTCTTATTTTATAATTCATGTTTTTGTAGTATAATATTAGGATTTCAATTAATGTTTTAACAGTATTAAGATTTTAATTCAGCGCTTCAATTGCCTGCTTTTAAAATGGATAAAAGATTGTGTCTTGGAACCAACAAAGATAAATGTCATTGATGGAATTGTAAATGCAATAGCTGCATGATCAAATTAATGTGAAGCCATAGACAATTGTCAATTGTTTTAAGCATTACAAAATTAAGACTCCCGATGTTGATTAATTGCAAGTTACAAATAAAGTGGATAAGGGAAATCATTGTAGAATTGAGTGATCAGACTCGACGACTTCACTACATTAATCGAATAGATATTAATGTCTTCTTCAATCATCCAAAGGAGCAACAAGTCATGTATACTTTAACTGAAAAAGAAATCATTGTTACAATTAGACAATAAGAGAAAGGAAATAATCATGAGGAAATACAAAAAATTTTGTGCTAATAAGCTCTAAACATGCTTGAGAAGTTAGACATATTTTGGTTTCAACAAGAAGATGTTCATGCTAACGGGTAATGTACCTGCAAGTTAAAAGATGTGATAATAACTCTAAAACATAAATCATTCTTCCAAACAATTTTAGATAAATATTTTATTTCATCTTAAATCTTTAATGTAAGGTAGCATATTTTTTTTTTTAAATATACAAATAATTATTACTATGTGAAGACAACTTTTCTTAAGACGAGAATTAAAAAAATTATAACTTATTACACTGTGTAGTTTATTTTTATTTATAACTATTCTAAATTGGGAATATAATTTTTTATGACTATGTAGAGTTTATTCTTATATAAAGTATGGTTATATATAAATGCAGATGTGAATATGAATCACATTTGAATAATTTTCATAATTCTTTTCAGACATTATAATCAATATTGAATTTAAAACCCTTTCTGGATAAGTAATAGAGAACTTTATTACCACCTTCTCCGCAAGATAACACCCCGCCATCTATTAAAGAAACCAGGTATTTATGAGTAAATATACTTTATGATAACACCATTAAAGGAATGACCGTTCCGTATAAAAAACCAACTAATAGAATGACTGTTCATAAATGAGGAACAACCATTTTTAATGACCGTTCATAATAAGAGAACAGTCATTCCTTTCATAAGGAATGAGAACAACCAAAGAAATGATTGTTTCTTCATAAAAAATAACCGTTTGTTTCTAGTAGTATTTTTTGGTGTAGTAGAAACTGATGTGATAATGTTAATCTGTTAATATGTTAGGATTATAAGAGAAGGTAATTGTGAGATTGAGTTGTAAACGTAACATTTTTTTTAATTTAATCCAGTCCCACTGTTAGCCAACAAATTACCCCCTGATATCCCGTGCTTTTTATGACACTTAATTCACTCTATCAAACATAGAGCCATGGAATAATATATATCTGATGTTTAGTGAACAATGCAGCATTGAAACATTAGCAACTTCTTCACCAATATATGAAGAAAAGTCAAATATATAACTCATGGGATTTAAAATGGGTCTGACTTCTTATCCAATAAGGTCTTATTGAATGAGATGATATTTCTATTTTATAAACTAATAGACTTGAACGTATCTAATCAGTTTAAGAAGCTAGGTATGAGACTTTAATACTTTCTATCGTGATCAAGCCTATAACTTAAGTCCTGTTTATTGATGAAGATAGTTAATGATTCTAACTTGCTTATATCTTAAGTTATGTTTATTGATAAAGATAGTTAATGATTCTAACTTTTTATCAATAGGATAAAACTCTCTTATTATGATAGAATTTATGATAGGTTTGACTCTTATTCAATAAATTCTTGTTGAATCAGAGAATTAATCCTTTTTATAAATTATTAGGCTTAAACCAGGTAGTCGGTGTGAAACTCGGACAAATGAGACATCTACTTAAGCAATCTCGCTCTCACTCTGTCGATTGTCGGCGTTGATCATGCCAACAATTAATATTCGTAGCTAGCTAGCCACAGGAATAAAAACATTGGACTTTTATTTGTAAAATTAAGCTATACGATGTTCTTTTCAATTGGCATCATTAACCACAAGTTCATAATTTCAATAAATTGATGGTCCCACGGGGACATGGAGCAGTATAAGCCAGAAATTTCAAGTTTGTAGTACTGAATCGCATTCGAATAACTTTTCACAAATCATCTTGCTCCACCCAATGCTAGTTGGACTTACAAGCTCAGTGACACTGACATATATACTCTACATCACAAATTAAATCAATGAAAGAAAAAAATGTTGATTGACTGGTATTGGGTAGTAATTTGAAGAAATCGTACATAATATATGTGGTCACAGGAGCTAACTTAATTTCTTGACATTGATTGTGGATAATTCATCTTTTTCAATTAAACTGTAGTACAAAAAGAAGGAAAAAAATGGTTTTAATATCAACTCATCGTGTTAAATATGCACAAATGAATCAAAAAAATATGAATGGTCTAAAAAATGTGTAACAGTATACAAACGTGAAAAACGTGTAACAGTATACGAACAGACTTCCTATGTCTACAACTAGTCTGTTAGAGATGTGTAATCCATATGTTTCTCCGGATACCAAAGTAGCTCACTCAACCAGAATTTTCTGTTTTTAACAAGCGTATGTAATCATAAATGAACCATTCATCCTTTGTTCCTCTTTGCCGGATGAACAACTACATTGACTCATATTAATTTTCTTCCCGAAATGTATTGTGTGAAAGAGCTAGTTGAATCGCGTGGTTGTCTCCAATCTGTTCCTTCAAATTATGTCTTCCCAGAAAACCATGATGATTGCATAATCTCAGAAGAGGAGCCAATCCCTACTATAGACTATTCGTTGCTTACTTCCGGTTCTCTAGAACAACGCTCCAAGGTTATCCATAAACTTGGCAATGCCTGCCGCGAATGGGGATTCTTTACGGTAACATATATACCATCTACGTATTACTAATATTCTCTCTGGTCGTTGTTTCGACTTTCATGTATCCGAATATGTTAAATTTCTTGTTCTTGTGGATTTACAAAAGTTTCCGTATATGATAAAAATAGGTTATTAATCATGAAGTACCGAAGACACTGAGAGATGAGATGATAAAGGCAACTGAAAAATTCTTCGATCTATCCGAAGAGGACAAGCGAGAGTATGCCGGAAAGAAATTGTTTGATCCCATTAGGTGGGGAACTAGCTTTAATGTAAAGGTGGACAAAACATTTTTCTGGAGGGATTATCTCAAGGTCCACGTTCATCCCCAGTTCAATGCTCCTAAGAACCCTCCTGGCTTCAGGTACTTAATTGATTACCTAAAAAATCTAGGCTTCTTGATCACTGATTCTCTTTGTGCAAGGCACCAGCAAACTGCAATTCAGGGCAATTTATGACTAAATTCTTAAGATTAATTTGTTCAAACTTATTGGTCTGCTTCGTGTATTGTTTCAATTTTGAAGCTCAACATGGAAGAAATTATGTTGTTGTTGCGACGTGAGAATTTTTTTCTTTTTAGTTGTTGTAATATTAAGTTAACCCAGCTTCTATGGATGATTTATTTGTTTTGTTTTGTTTAATTTCTTTTTACGTACTTATAGTGAGGTACAAGAAGAATATTGCAAAAAAAATCGAGAATTAGCAAGTGAATTGCTAAAAGGGATATCAGCAAGCTTGGGATTGGAAGAAAGCTACCTACAGAAGACGTTGAATGTTGGATCAAACTCTCATCAGCTTCTAGTCATCAATCTGTACCCACCTTGTCCACAGCCAGAAGTCGTGATGGGGCTGCCCCCTCATTCTGATCATGGCCTATTGACCGTACTCATGCAGAACGGGCCTGGAGGTCTACAAGTTCAGCATAACGGGAAATGGGTTCCTGTAAATCTCCCGCCGGACTCTTTCGTTGTCAACGTAGGAGACCAGATGGAGGTAATTTAAAGCCATTAGGGTGTATTTTTAACGCATTAAAGTCACTGTTAATTAAAACAAAAATATCGGTCTCCTTTATCTGATAATCATGTAATCAACTGATTGTATATTTTGTGTGCTCAGATATTTAGTAATGGTATGTACAAAAGTGTAGTGCACCGAGCCGTAGTGAACGGCAAAGCAACAAGAATTTCGATTGGAACTGGAAACGGACCTCCGCTTGACACTGTAGTGAGCCCTGCGCCGGAGCTATTGGATCGAGAAAACCGACACGCTGGATATCGTGGGATAACTTATAAGCAGTACATGGAGCTTCAGCAAAGCAATCGTCTTGATGGAAAATCCTGCTTGACTCATGTCCGCATTTGAAGATTCAAGTCTTATCATATTAAATAATAATTTTCTGTTCATGTGAGTATCTAGCAACTTAATCGCAATGTTACGAATAAACAAATAAAGTCCCAATCGGGACCAGGCCCGCTAAAAATGTTATATGTCTTAATATTTGTCCTTATAAAAAAGTATGGTAATTTAAGTAGCCTTTAAATGTTCATATTGCAAACTTACTGCTTAAGGTTATGAAGAAAAAACCAAATTGCCACCAGATTTGAAAAGGATAGGTGCAAGTTACAAAATGACTTACTTATAAGTTCTTATTTTTGAGGTCATCTTATGGAAAACACGACTTAAATTAAATAATTAGTGAATCAAATATTAAGTCCATATGTAGCTTGCTGTAAGGAATCGAGACAGAGACCATGAGCAGGACAAAGAGAAGCAGTTCAAGACAATGCGCTGCCAGAGTATGCCTAAGAAAAGAGAAAGAGAGAATAAATTTGTATATTCAATATATTGTAAGCCTGTACAATTGGCCAATTTATACATCTTTGTAAATGTAAAAAAGGAAAGTACTGAATATAAAAGATCCCTGTAATTGTTTCAATCAATCACTTGAATTAAATTGATTGATTGAAACTCTAATTACTGCTTAATTTTAGCCAGCAGAGATTTAGGGAAATCAATCAAAGGCATTCCATATTTCGTCACTCCCTCTCAAGCTTATGGTTTGTAGATGTCAAAAACTCCAAGCTTGTTAAGTAAATATGAATGTTCTCTGCTACATAATGGCTTTGTAAAGATGTCTGCTGGTTGTTCTGAAGTACGAATGTGTAAAGTTTTGATTATACCCCTTCTTGTATTTTGTTTCTGACTAAATGACAATCAATTTCTATATGTTTTGTTCTTTTATGGAATACTGGATTTGCTGCTATGTCGTTTGCAGCCTTGTTGTCATAGTATAAAAGAACCAGTTTACTTACATGTACTTCTAGGTCCTTTAATAATCCCAAAAACCAGACGATCTCACATGTTGTATTTGTCATGGCTCTGTATTTCGCCTCTGCTGAAGAAAGGGATATAGTTGATTGTTTCTTTGTTTTCCAAGAAATAAGAGCTCCCCCTAGCTTGATGCAGAAACCTGTAAGTAATTTTCTTGTCATTGGACATGTGGCCCAGTCTGAGTTACAATGAGCTGTGATATCCAAACCTTTGTCTCGAGGAAGGAGAAGACCTAGGCCAGGACATCCTTTTAAGTATTTCAGAACTTTTATCGCAACTTCCATGTGAGATTGTTTAGGCTTATGCATGAACTGACTAAGGATGTGGACCGCATAACTGATGTCTGGGCGAGTCATGGTGAGGTAGATTAATCGCCCAACAAATCTTTGATAATTTGTGGGGTCTTCCAAAGGTGGATCAACTTCAGTAGATGATGTCTCATTGTCGTATTCCTGAGTAGTCAATTTGGTGTTTTGTTCTACTGGAATAATACTTGGCTTGCAACCTGATAGCCCATAATCAAAAATCAATTCCAAGACATACTTCCATTGGCTAAGAGATATTCCTGTCAGGGATCGTGCAATTTCGATTCCTAGGAAATATTTTGGTTCTCCCAGATCTTTTATTCGGAATTGTCTGTTGAGATGTTCTTTCAAGGATTTGATGCTACTTCATCATTTCCTATAATAAGAATGTCATCTACATAGATGATTAGAGCAATAAAGGTTTTACCTTTATGCCAGGTGAATAATGCATAGTCATTTTTGGATTGAACAAATCCTATGCCAATGAGAGCTTTGCTGAATTTCTCATTCCATTGTCGAGATGCTTGTTTGAGGCCATAGAGGGAGACGACATACTGTGTTCTCCCCCTGTCTGCGAATGTCGGGAGGAAGATCTATATAAATTTCTTCATGAAGATCACCATGAAGAGACCAGTCATGAACAAGAGCCACTGTAAGGAAAGTATGAACAGTAACATGTTTGGCTATTGGTGAAAATGTCTCTTAATAATTAAAGCCCTCACGCTGAGTGAAGCCTTTAGCGACCAATCGAGCTTTGTAATGTTCGATGGATCCATCAGCACGGTGCTTGATTTTGTAGACCTAATTACAACCAATGGGTTTTCTATGAGAGGGATGAAACACTAGATCCCAGTATGATTCTGAGTCAGAGTAGTAAGTTCATTAGACATTGCTTGATGCCAGTTAGAGTATTGAACAACATCTGAGTAACTAGTGAGTTCTCGATCAGCAGAGATGTGACTGATATAGGCTCTGTGTACAGGAGAGAGACGTCCATAACTCACATAATTGGAGGTATGATATAATGTACCTGAGGAATTGGAAACAGTAGGACATTCATAATCTACTGTCCAGATTGGAGGCCAAGTTTGCCGAGTACTGCAGCGTGTGGGAATAACTGTAACTGGAATAGTGGATCCTGGTGTGGAAACAACTGGAATAGAGGATCCGGGTGAGGAACCAGGAGTAAGAATCTGAATAGGTGTTTCTTCCTAAGGATCATTAGTGGTTGCTGTATTAGAATTATTGGTAGTATAGAACCGGAGGATCCGGTATCATATAGACTAGAGGATCCGGTATCATATAGAATAGAGGATCCTATTGGATAGTATCTTCAGGAACCAGTCTGGGTGATGTAGATGTAGTAATGGTATCTCTGGCAAACAGAAAAATGTCTTCATGAAACACAACATCTCTAGAGATCAGGAACTTGTTTTCAACTGGATCATATAGCCTGTAACCTTTTTGAAGCATAGGATATCCCATAAATATACAACGGGTGGCCCGAGTACATGGGAGCCAAGGGTGGCAGCATAACAAAAGCAACCAAAAACTCGGAGGTGGTCAAGAGCTGGTGGCCTCTTGAACAGTATCTCATAAGGAGTCTTACCATGAAGAACTTTGGTTGGCATGCGATTGACTAGGTATGTGGCTGTGATCACACAATCGCCCCAAAAAGAAACAGGTATGTGGGCTTGGTGTTTGAGGGCATGGGCTACTTCAAGTAGATAACGGTGTTTTCTTTCGACAACCCCATTTTGTTGTGGTGTATATGTGCAAGAGCTTTCATGCAAAATGCTAAGAGATAAAAATAGAGATGAACAATTATAATTAAAGAACTCCCTAGCATTGTCAGTTCTAACTCTTTGTACAGAAGTACGAAATTGGGTGGTGACCATGGATAGGAAATTCTTAATGTGAGTAAGTGTTTGAGATTTGGATTACATGAGGAATGTCTATGTACCTTGGGAAAAGTCATCGACAATGGTGAGGAAAAATCTAGATCCATCATGATTTGGGGTGTGGTAGGGCCCCCAAATATCAAGATGGATTAAAGCAAAATGTTGGGTTGTAATGGAAGTGCTATGTGGAAAGGTAATGCGGGTTTGTTTAGCCAATGGACATATAAGACACTGAGGGTGAGGGATAGTTGCACTGTGACCTAATCGTTGATGAAAAATAAAGGAATTTTTATTAATCATCGTATTACAATGGAAATTTTATTTTGACTACAAGTAGGAAAACTTTTAGGAGACTCAGCAGGTGCCTAGTAGTATAGACCTCTATTGACTTTACCCAAGCCCATTAGTTTCCTAGTCGAAGGGTCCTGAAATTTACATGTATTAGGACAAAACTCTACAGTGCAACTATTGTCTTCACATATTTTGGATACTGAGATAAGATTAAAATGAAATGCAGGAACACATAACACATTTTTAAGTGATAAAGTAGCAGATAAGTAGACGATTCCTATATGAGTAGCTAGGGCGATATTTTCGTTCGGTATACGAACTGAAGTGGATGAGGTAGTGAAAATTGTGGTAAAAAAATTTGGGTGACAAATGATGTGATCACTAGCCCCTGAATCAATAATCCACATATCAGTTATGAGTATATTAAAACAGTAAGAGGTACCTGCGTAAGATGCGGCGGGAGCATTCGGGGCATTGTTCAGTAGTTGGAGCAATTGATTATATTGTTTCGGGTTAAGAGTAGGTGCTGACTGATTTACAAGAGAAACTTGGAAAGAAGAAGAATGACCATTTCTCTCCTTGTTATTGGAATCCAGATGACCATGTAATCTCCAACAATGGTCTCGATCATGATTTCTTCTTTTGCAATAATCACAATATAATTGATTTTTATTGGATCTTGAATTTCCCAGCACATTTGACCCAGATCCAGACCCATTTGACCCATTTCCAAAGCCAGTTGACCTAGTTGACCAAGAAGTTGTCCTGTTTGACCCATTGCGTGATGTGGCATGATTGGAACCATGAGATGCGTTTAAAAACGAGATGAGTTTCTGGTCATCAGATCTCAAGATTGAATCTAAGCCTTTCATCTCATCATATATAAGAGAAGGTTTTTCACCTTCATTGTGCCCTAGCCACTGTGAATCCCCATTTTCTCTCAACCCTGCCAACGCCATTGAATCTGGTGAGGTCCTTTCGAAGTTCAACTGGCTTTGGCTTTCATCTTGCGTCGCCAGTTGAAAACTCCGGCAGAGAGAGGGTGGTGGAGACGCGGCCAGTACCTGTGTCCTGAAAGAGAGAAAACCGTCATTTAATCTGAGCAAAAAATGCGACAATCGGTCGCGATCTCGCATTCTGTGGTATTGATTAAGTGTTTCTGGTGGCCCCTTAAGCCTTTCTTTGGCAGCGTCTAACTCGTTCCAAACGGCAAAAAGCCGATTGAAATAAGTGGTGACCGAGTTGTTTCCTTGCTTGAGTTCGATGAGATGCTACCGGAGAGTGAAAATTTTGGCAAGATCGAGCTTCCTATACATCTCTTTGATGTTAGCCCAGATTTCGACAACCATTTCTATTGGTGGGAGCCCAGCTGCAACCTCTAACGAAAGACAATTGCTGATCCATGAGCGGACCAGCATATTGCAACGATTCCAGTGGCGTTGAAGATGAGCTTGTGGCGGTGGTTGAAAAGCCCTATCAAGAAATGGATCTTTGTCTTTGGTGATGAGGGTCACCGAAAATCGCGAGACCAGGAGGCATAGTTGTCAGATCAGGTGAGGGTTTGTTTGATGAGGACTAATTTTGGTCCATCGGAGACCAGTGAGAAGAGAACATCGCCTGGTTCAGGGCAATTGTTCCCGACTGCTGAAATGATTCAAAGAGGGTGCGGGTAGGGATTTGGATCCGAACCCGATGTCGGAATAGAATCTGGGTTGTAACCCGGTATTCCAAGAGAGGCTAGGTCAGGCCTTGAATGGGTAAAAGATTTTGGGTTCTAACCCGACATTCCAAGAGAGGCTGGGTTAGGCCTTGAATGGGTAAAAGATTCTGGGTTGTAACCCGACATTCCATATGGATAACGAGCTGGGTCAGACCTGTTTTGAATTGTTTGGGCTTGGGTTGTAGCAGGTAGAGATTGGTTGTTTGGGCCGGAGTAGTGTGGGTTGTTTGTGGTGATTGGGCTGTTTCCATGCTGAAGGTTAATGGTGTTTTTTGATTGTTTGCAGGGACAAAGAGAAAGAAGCTAAGTTGAAAGGCAAGCAGAAGCTGTTAGTTGTGCTCTGATACCATGTAAGCAATCGAGACAGAGACCAATAGCAGGACAAAGAGAAGCAGTTCAAGACAATGACACTGCTAGCGTATGCCCAAGAAAAGAGAAATAGAGAATAAATTTGTATATCCAATATATTGTATGCCTGTATAATTGACCAATTTATACATCTTTGTAAATGTTAAAAAGGAAAGTAATGAATATAAAAGATCCCTAAAATTGTTTCAATCAATCACTTGAATTATGTTGATTGATTGAAACTCTAATTACTGCTTAACTTTAGCCAGCAGTGATTTAGGAAAATCAATCAAAGACATTCCATATTTCGTCACTTGCCTCTCAATATATGCAAGTCTTCTGTAAAATCAAAGGAGAGTTGGGGGGGACAGTACAAAGTGTAAAACAAATTATATGAAAGGATTAATATTATACCGAACCGATATAAACTGATGTTTTCTCTTATTTTGTGTAAAATTTGTAAGGCAAACAAAGTAATTAAGCAAAAATTCTGTAATTATGATATTCTTTATTTAAAAATTGATATCATATCATGGTTTTATTTCTATTGATCAGTTGTATAGGATTTTAGGTAAAGATGGAAATAAAATGCATAATATATGTAATATGTCTGCATATTAACTTAAAAGAATTTGTTATTGGCTTATATGGTTGTTCAATTAAAAAAATAATTTTGTTGTTTTTTTATAAAAAATAAATTTTCTCTGTGTAGAACTCTCCTCTTCTAAATTCACACGTGGTTGTTTTAATTAAAAAAAAAGAAGATGTGTAATTGTCGAAGTAAACGCGGACTTTATTTTACTTTATTTATTTTTTGTAATTAAATAGTCTCAAATAGAGTTCTATTATTTTTTATTACAAATTCAAATTATGAAATTAATAAGCTTCAGTCACATTATCTTAACGATTTCATAGACTTTTGTAATATGAACCCAACAATATTTTAGCTATTCAATTATTGAACTAAAAAGTCAAATTAATTGCCCATTAGATTATTAATTAGATAAAATTAATCTTAATTAGAATGGTCTAAGGAGACGAAATTTGACGATGGACCGTCTAAACCATTAATAACTTTACACGGTTACGTGTTTCTTTATGATCTGTTAATACAAAAACAAAAAACACGACGTGTCCATGTCCATTTAAGGATCTGCCTTTTACTTGGGTCTCTTCAGATCATTTCTTTCACCATTTCCTTAACAGTTTGAGTCGATGGGCCACCTAAAGAGACTAAGAATTTTCATAGGCTTTCTCAAAGACAAAGCATCCTTAATCAAAACAACCTTCTCAACCAAACGCCAAACCGCCTCCATCCGCCACGCCGTCCTCCGTGCCACCTCCCACCGCACTTCCACTCCTCCGTCTAATAAGCGCATCGCCGCCGTTCTTTCCTTTGGCCATGGATCTCGAACCAGGGCGTCCGCATGCATTCAAGCTCTCATGGACCGCCTGCATGCCACACGCAACGCTTTTGTTGCCCTAAAGTGTCTCTTCACAATCCATCATATTATTACAAGGGGTTCATTTATTTTAAAAGATCAGCTTTCGATTTATCCTTCTTATGGTGGCCGAAACTTTCTTAATTTGTCAATGTTTCGCGATAGTTCGGACCCGGAAACTTGGGAACTGTCGTCATGGGTAAGATGGTATGCATGTGTTTTGGAGCGAAATTTAACAGTTTCCAGGGTTGTGGGTTATTACTTCAGTTCTCCAAAATCATCTAAGAAAATGAATGATGATAATGAAGAGAAGGTTTTGGCATTGTTGAGCTCAGATTTGTTGAGAGAGTTAGATGCTCTAGTAGGCAGCGTTGAAGAGATAAGTGACGTGCCCAGTTCGTTGAATCTTCAGAGGAACAATTTGGTACACGAGGTTGTAAGATTGGTCGGTGAAGATTATAGGTTAATACAACATGAAATTTTCCTCCGAGTCGGCGAACTCGGAGAGAGATTAATCAGTTTGAGTCGGGAAGAGTTGACTCAGTTTTTGGATACTTTGAAAAGACTTGAAGATTGCAAAGATAGATTGTTACGGTTATTCGTTAACAGGTATAAGAATCATGGGTTATGGAATTCGATTCACGAAACAACGACGAAGATCATGGTGGTGGCAGTGAATGAGAACGTGAAGGAGAAGGCGTTAATGAAGATATGGAGAAGAGACAAGTCAAGTGAGTTGAGTGGGATCGGAGAACGATTTTCTGAGTTCGGACAGTCGCTCCAGTTGACGTCTAGTGATACCTGGTTAGGGTTGGACCGGGTTCCCCTATCTTTATCTACTGCAAGATGACCTAAGATGGTTCCGTTCACAGATGTTGTGGTAAATAATTTGTGAAAGAGTAATGCTACAGTTATCGAGGGTGTACATCGAATTTGTACACTGAATGACGTGGCATAATCCTGACCGTTAATTTATTATCAGTTAATATTAATCAACGGTCAGGATTTTATCACGTCATTCGATACACAAATTCGGTGTAAACTTTTCGATAACTCTATTATTTTCCTTTGTGAAAAGAGTAATGCTATAGTTACCGATGGATGTGCATCGAATTTGTGCACCAAATGACGTGGCATAATCCTGACCGTTAATTTATTATCAGTTAATATTAATCAACGGTCAAGATTTTGTCACGTCATTCGGTGCGCAAATTCGGTGTAAACTTTTCGGTAACTCTATCATTTTCCTTTGTGAAAAGAGTAATGCTACAGTTACCGACGGGTGTGCACCGAATGACGTGGCATAATCGTGACCGTTAATTTATTATCAGTTAATATTAATCAACGGTCAGGATATAAAAGATTATTTGGTCTGTCACTGTAATTTTATTCATATCTTAATATATTTTATCCAAATATTTAATTTCATAAAATTTGACAGTTGGATAACATTTGTAAACAAATAATAAAATTTGGTGCCTATTTTTTTTTTTTTTTTTTTCAATACGAGTATTTATTGAGATGATGATGATGATGACTAATAGCTAAGTGAAAAGGAATTATAAATAAAATCGATTTTATTTACTCATTTTCATAAAGTATTCAACGCAAATTTGTTTATATATATATAAAAGATTATTTGGTCTGTCACTGTAATTTTATTCATATCTTAATATATTTTATCCAAATATTTAATTTCATAAAATTTGACAGTTGGATATGATTTATTTCTTTTATGCAAAGGATAACGATAGGATATCATGATTCATGGGATGCCCTTTTTTTTCAACAATTAAAAACATCATTTAATTTCCAGGAAAATATGTGATTGCATAATATTTCATAGTGATAAGAATTTATATATATTGTTTTGGATTAGGTGTGAAATAAAATACAATGTATATATTTTTAATTTATAAAAGTCAAATTTAATAAAGAAAAAGATGTATATGTATGACCCTGATGACTAAGAAAAAGAACACTGATTTTGATTGAGAATGAGAAGGAGCGGCAGTGGCATATACTTAAATTCAAATGGGTTATTTTACTGAATGTGGATGGCCGTGTGGACCTGGCTAGAATTTAAATAGGTTGGTGTTGGATGATATCAGCGTCCTTGTTGCGTAAGAAATTGAAACATTATTGTTATACCTTGTAAATTTATGTGAAGAAAGCATAATGATGTAAACGCTCCCAGTCGGCAACTTCAAATTTTCTTCTCTCATGAAACGTGAGCGCGTATCTGCGTTGGGTGGACAGGAGCCAATTCAGACAATGGAAAAGGTCAGGTTAAATTAATCGATTAATACAACAAACATAAAATATCTGCCAGGATGACATTGTTGGAGAATTGGCTGTTGATAATTTTGACCAAACAGTTGATGTGCAGTATGTGATAGATGAAGGACTTCAATTTGATTTACATTAAAATACTATAATATTCTTGAAAAAGCTGCTTGTGTAAATTAGTGGCAAGTATAAACCAGGACTAATGTCTAGTGCAACCCATCCTCAACATGTGGTTGATTATTTGCGTTGGGAATTGACCACTTCTGCACCCGGTGGCTAGCATTTTGGGCCTGTAATGCCACCATACAATAACTTTAATCACATCTAATAAGGCCAAACGATTGTCGAAATAATAAATTGGTACCCAAAAGGTTTTGAAACAATAAATAGATACCTTTTATCATGTTCTAAATAATAAGTTAGTATCCAAAAGGTTTTGAAAATACCAGATCTACGCGTTACGACACAGATCCGACGAGTCTGTGTCGTAACGCAATATTCTGGCCAGATTCCGGCGGTAGTAGTCAGAATCTGGCAGTGCGGGTGGCGGGGGTGTTTTTATTATTTTTTAAAATTTTTATATATTGGGGTATTTAGTCAAATTAGCAAACCTAGGGCGTTTTTTAGAAATTTTTAAATTTATAAAAAACTAAAATATCAAACTTTCAAGGGCACTCTAGTCTTTCCACTATTATCAAACGAAAATCACTAACAGAACATGACAGAAGGTACCTATTTATCGTTTTAAAACATTTTAGATACCAACTTATCGTTTCGACAAACCTTGGGTATGCATAAGTCGTTCGGCCCATCCAATAAACTAGAAAACTTAAAACTAAGTTAATCAAGTGTCTACCTCCTTTTCCCAATCAGTTCGAACAGTTATAATGGTCAGGATCACTGTTTGAACAGCAGTCCAACCCAGGGGCAGACCCAGCTCCTTGAAGGGTAGGGCCTACCCTCACATTTTAAAAAAAAAAATTGTTTATGTAGGCTTATAAAAAAATTCTATATATTTATTAAAAGTTTAAAACTCTCTCCACTCTTTTCTACGTGCATCTGTTTTTTATGATTTTATCCCTAAAATTCTTTATTCTCTCATTCTTTTTTTCACTTTCTCTATGTTATTCGTTCTTAAAACTTTTGAAGACTGAAATTGTTGAAGCTTTCACTCATCAAGGTGCCACAATTAGCTTCGCTTTCTGTTTTCTCCGTTTTAGGTATGTGTATTGCTTATTTCATTTTAGTTTATTTTAGGGTTGAATCATGCTTATTTTTTGGAGGTTTTTTTATTCTAATTTGATGGAAAAATGCATGGATCTTGTGAGTTTGTTTTGTGTTTTATGTTTAAGAATGTTCCCGCTTACCCAAATTAAACTGTTGGAAATAACATAGAATAACATATATCCTAACAAAATCCCAAGATCATAGTCACCATTGCAATCACATTTGTATATAAATGAACTACAATGAATTAGCACAACATAAATACCTCTTTTCCTTATCTCTGAAGCAACAAAATTAATCTGGAAGAAAACCACGAAGTGTATTTCTGTTTTCCAAATTCTAGAGAGAGAGAGAGAGCGTATTTTTCTTTTTGAAAATTGGTGTGTGTTGTGTCTTACTAAAAGAAAGAATTTTTTCTTTTATATGTAGCGATTAGAGAGAAACTGCATTTGGCAGTTTCATTCCACACACGTCGCTTGGGGTAACCCATCATGGGTGTACCCTTATCTAATATCTCCCAGTCACACATGATGAGACTATCTCTCTCTGTGCTTCTTTAAGGTTCATACCTTAGTAAATATGCCGTGTGACCATGCATACTTTGAGAGCACGTTAGTCATATATTCGTTAGGAGTATATAACTTCTCGAATTGTGAAACTTAGGTTGTATGTTGTATGCAATACCCTATACGAGTATTTATTGAGATGATGATGATGATGACTAATAGCTAAGTGAAAAGGAATTATAAATAAAATCGATTTTATTTACTCATTTTCATAAAGTATTCAACGCAAATTTGTTTATATATATATATAAAGACTATTTGGTCTGTCACTGTAATTTTATTCATATCTTAATATATTTTATCCAAATATTTAATTTCATAAAATTTGACAGTTGGATATGATTTATTTCTTTTATGCAAAGGATAACGAGAGGATATCATGATTCATGGGATGCCCTTTTTTTTCAACAATTAAAAACATCATTTAATTTCCAGGAAAATATGTGATTGCATAATATTTCATAGTGATAAGAATTTATATATATTGTTTTGGATTAGGTGTGAAATAAAATACAAAGTATATATTTTTAATTTATAAAAGTCAAATTTAATAAAGAAAAAGATGTATATGTATGACCCTGATGACTAAGAAAAAGAACACTGATTTTGATTGAGAATGAGAAGGAGCGGCAGTGGCATATACTTAAATTCAAATGGGTTATTTTACTGAATGTGGATGGCCGTGTGGACCTGGCTAGAATTTAAATAGGTTGGTGTTGGATGATATCAGCGTCCTTGTTGCGTAAGAAATTGAAACATTATTGTTATACCTTGTAAATTTATGTGAAGAAAGCATAATGATGTAAACGCTCCCAGTCGGCAACTTCAAATTTTCTTCTCTCATGAAACGTGAGCGCGTATCTGCGTTGGGTGGACAGGAGCCAATTCAGACAATGGAAAAGGTCAGGTTAAATTAATCGATTAATACAACAAACATAAAATATCTGCCAGGATGACACTGTTTAAGAATTGGCTGTTGATAATTTTGACCAAACAGTTGATGTGCAGTATGTGATAGATGGAGGACTTCAATTTGATTTACATTAAAATAATATAATATTCTTAAAAAAGCTGCTTGTGTAAATTAGTGGCAAGTATAAACCAGGACTAATGTCTAGTGCAACCCATCTTCAACATGTGGTTGATTATTTGCGTTGGGAATTGACCACTTCTGCACCCGGTGGCTAGCATTTTGGGCCTGTAATGCCACCATACAATAACTTTAATCACATCTAATAAACTAGAAAACTTAAAATTAAGTTAATCAAGTGTCTACGTCCTTTTCCCAATCAGTTCGAACAGTTATAATGGTCAGGATCACTGTTTAAACAGCAGTCTAACCCAGGGGCGGACCCAGCCCCTTGGAGGGTAGGGCCTACCCTTACATTTTAAAAAAAAAAACTGTCTATGTAGGCTTATAAAAAAATTATATATATATAGGGTTACCTTCACATTTTTTTAAAATGAGAAATATATTATCTCCATGGTCATACAAAATTTGCTATTAATATATATATTTTACGTCTATATTATATTAAAAATTTAAAATTCTTTCTATCATTTTTTACGTACATCTATTTTTTTATGATTTTATCTCTAAAATTCTTTATTCTTTACTCTCTCATTCTTTTTTTCACTTTCTCTATGTTATTCGTTCTTAAAACTTTTGAAGACTAAAATTATTGAAGCTTTCACTCATCAAGGTGTCACAATTAGCTTCACTTTCTGTTTTCTCCGTTTTAGGTATGTGTATTGCTTATTTCATTTTAGTTTATTTTAGGTTGAATCATGCTTATTTTTTGGAGGTTTTTTTATTCTAATTTGATGGAAAAATGCATGGATCTTGTAAGTTTGTTTTGTGTTTTATGTTTAAGAATGCTTCCGCTTTCTCAAATTAAACTTTAACTATATTTTACTGAACGTTATTCTTCACCTTTCACCCACCACTTTCCTACATTTCAAACGTTACCGTTTAGCTGCTCAAAATTATTAAAGAAGTTTGGGTTTTTATCTATGTTTATACTAAGAAAATTTCCCTTTTTTTTTATTAATTCATATTAAAAGTCAAGGCAATATTGACTTAATTTAAGTTTTGGTTGACTTTAGCTTAGGCTAGGCCTGATTAAAGTCATGAAAATTTATATTATAATATTTGAAAAAAAAAAAAAAAAAGAGGGAAAATAAGAAATTTGTGTAGAACATTTTTTGTGGATTGTGATTGTTGTAAACTCTTTTAATTATATTAGATTTAAGTGGATTGTTAGATTCTTGTTAGGGCCAAAAATCTTCTTGGGCTTGACGAGGCCCAATAACGAAATAAACATGGCATGGCCTAAGGCCTCAACCCAATCTCGATTGGGCCTACGCTTAAAATCACCTTGTGAACTACCCAC